TGGCACCCGCGGCGCCGCGGGTGAGCCGCGCGATGCAGCGCCCCGTCATCGTGGGCGAGGTGCTCCCGCCCAGAACTGCGCAGCGCGCGGCGGCCGCGAGCGCGCGGGCGGCGATGGTCTCCGGACCTGCGGCCGCGCCGCCGCCGCCCGGCCCGCCGGCTGCGGGCGACCGGCCGTCGGTGTATCAGCAGCTGGCGTCGCCGCTGGCCTCGGCCGCGGCCACTCGCTCCCAGGCCAGCCTGCCGCCGCTGAGCCGCGCCGCCACGCCCTCCCCGGGCTCCTCGGGCACCGGGCCGTCGCGGGGACCCAGCGAGGACGCCGAGCCCGGCCGCCGCGGCGCGGGTGGGGGCGGGCCGGCCGCGCCGCAGCGCCCGGCCTCGCGCGAGTCGGCCGGCGCGCGCTCCGTCGCGCCCGGCGGCTGGGACGACGGCGGCGAGGCAGCCGGGGCCTCGCCCCCAGGCATCCCGGACAACCCCTACCTCCTGGACACCCTGCGTCTGGCGGGCGGGGGCTCGGCCTGGGGGTCCTGGAGGGGCGCGCACGACGGGGTGGCCACGAGCGAGGCGGGCGGGGGAGGGGGCGAGGGCGAGGAGAGGGCGGCGCGCCCGGGGGACGCGGCGTGGTGGAGTGCCGTGCCCGCCCACGACCGCTCCGATACCGTGGTCGAGCGGGGGGAAGGGGAGGGGGCCGCCGCGCCGCGCGCGCCGCCGCCCTGGGCCGACTCCTCGCTGCCCACCATGCAGCTGTGGGGTGAAGGGCGAGGAGCCTGAGACGGGACGGGCCCGGGGCGCAAGCGCCGTCCAGTCCCTGCAATCCCCATGGACTGACCTTGGGATGGATTCCTTGCACACCGCGCCTTGCTCGTGACTCTCGCCGATCCCCCTGGTGTGTATGCCCGAGCCGGGGAGCTCGCTGAACACTTCGAGAATGAATCCTGCCTGAGGGTGAAGCTGGGATGGTGACTGGCACGAATGCCAAGGAGAAGGCCCTTGGGTCCTCTTGCTAGCTGCTGCGCTGGCCGTGTGGCTCATACACATCCTTGTGCGTGCAGGAACACCCCAGCACCCGATCATGGCCAGGGAACCTGGGGGTACAGCCGGGGTGCCACCCTTTCCCACCATTGATCGCTATGCATGCTACCCCTGGTGCCCCTTTGCGTTACCATCCTGCGTCGGCTCTTCCAGCGGCCCCATTGCAATGCACGCTGACTGGCTGCCATTCCTCATCCTGCCCACCTGCAGCGTGAGCCTCTGTCACGCACAGATTTACTGTCAGCATTCCGGCATCATCAGTTGGCTCAATCCTTGATCCTAATGTGGTCTTATCATTTAATTACGTGCCCTTGCCTGGGCTGATGCCTCGTGGACTTCACGATGGCACCGATGGGCATGTGACCCACCAATGAGTAACTCTATTCAGTGCCTGAGGCGCTCCTTTCCACCCAGTCCCTCTCATGGACACATACCGGCACAGCCACGGAACCAGCCTTCGGGTGAAGCTACTGCTTGAGGGAGAATTTTCCATAGTAAGCATGGCTAGTCGATCTCCCCAGGGATCGCCATGTTGAGACCATGCCGGGTTACCTGCATGATCGAGACTGCCTCGACTTCCAGGTACGTTCCTCTTCATGCCTAGGTGTCGTAAATTCTGGCATGCAGGGGTCAAGACTTCCGGGTACATCATGCACTCACTACATGATTAGGTCGAGCTTTCAACCCCGACTTCCACTCTCACTTCACTCCCACCATTGAAGGCACCAGCACCAGCTGTATGATCACAAGAGGGCCTCGAAGCGTCCTCTCACGGTCATGACACCAACCGGATCGCACGGAGGGAGGCTTGCTGCACCCCGCTCAGGATTGCAAGCGGCTGCAACAGCCTCCCCTCCAGGGGAGGAGTTCTGGGCGGGGACCGACCAGCGTCCCATCATTCTCTTCGACGGAGCATGCAACCTTTGCAACGGCGGTGTAGGGGCCCTCATGCGTCTGGACACGGAGGCACAGTACCGCCTGGCAGCGCTGCAATCAGAGGCTGGCAGGAAGCTGCTGGTGCGAGTGGGGCGGGCACCCGAGGACCTGAGCTCCATAGTCCTGGTCACACAATCAGGGTGAGCCAGGGGCTGCAGCCTGTGCTGCCACAAGACCTGGACCTTGCCCACATGGAAGGAGGAGTACCACCTACCTGGTACCAGCTCTTTTGGCCCGCGCTCATGAGAAGACCTCACGCAGTACGGAGATGGGCAGGCAGCTCGGGCAGGGGCACCAGGTGATGGTGACACACCACCTTGTACCCCTCCTCTTCCCCAAAACAATGCAGGTTCTGGATCAAATCGGAGGCCATTCTTCGCATTGCACAGGGCCTGCCTCAGCCGACTGCCCTGGCAGCCACAGCCATAAAGGCCCTGCCCATCTTCATACGTGACAAGGCATATGACGCCGTGGCTGGGAGCCGGTATGCCCTGTTTGGACAGCCAGATGCATGCAGGCTTGACCATCCAGGCTACCAAGACAGGTTCCTGCGGAAATGACCCACCAGCCTAAAGCTATTGGAATTATTGGCTCCCAGTGTTGATGAATCCTGGTAAAAGCACGGGGGTTGCACCTCGTGGAGTATCATGAGCCTGAGACAGCCGCACGTGGCTTCCTCGCGCGCCATGTCGTCTCGGACCCCAGGGCGCATCGTGGGCGCGATCTAAACACCAAAGGTGGCCATTGCGTAGTATCATCGACAAGTGGAATCATGTACAAGGTTTCGTGAAGCACCCTGCTCCCTGCCCTTCTGAAGTGCTTCTCGTGGAGCTCAAACGCAGCTACTTGCGCCCTCCACTCCGTGCATCTGGTGATCTGGACCCAGCATAAGCTCTCTAGCACATACAAAATCCTGTAAGAGCGAGAAGAAGTGGCTGCAGCCCTCATCATCGCCTGGCCAGGTGGGGTGTGAGCTGCATCTGTCACGAGGCCAGCACAGCTGAGGCTGTGCGACGTCGATGGACATAGAATGGCTCACCTGAAGTGACTCCTTCTGCAGGAAATATAGGCTCACTTGACGCCAAAAGCTCACTATCGCCGGAATGACGAGCTTGGGATCTCAAACACCCACTGACAAGCTTGCAGCTGGCCGTCGCAAGGTGGGGATTGGATTATGATGGAGGGCAACTTTCTATGAAACAATGCCTCCGGAAGCTACCATTTACTTGAACTTCCCTTGGCCTGCTTCCCCAGTTGGAGGAGTTCAAGCGGAAGAAGCAGGCAGCCCTGGCTGCCAAGGCAGCGGGTGGCGGTGTCCTGGCAATGGGTGGCGGTGCCCCGCTTGCTGCTCCCGCCGCATCACCCCAACCACCCGCTGGAGAGCCCCGGCCACCTGCCCCTGCTCCTCAACAGACTGGAGTGGTCAGGTCGCTTACCTTCCAGCACCCTACTGAGGCAGTTCCTCCTCGCCAGCTGTCTGCAGACACTGCTGAGCTCCGCCAGCTAGAGCCAGCACCAGGGCCGACCGCCGCCGCAGCTGCCTCGCCAGCAATGGCAGCGGCGGAAAGTGTGGATGCACCATTTGCATCTGCTGGTCCTCATGAGATCTTGCATCCCGAGAAACAGCGCGAACAGCAAGGCCCCGCCTCCACAGATTTAGCAAGCACATCAGCCCCGCCGCCGTCCTCCCAAGCTCTCCCTGCCCAGTCCCAGACGAGCCCCGCCCCCACCCATCCTGACGCTCACGAGGCCGAGGCCAGGATCGCGGCGCTGCAGGCCAGCAACGCCGCCCTGGCGCGCCAGCTGGAAAGCATGGAGGCTGCCATGCGCGAAGGTCAGGAGGCCCTGGAGCGGCGGCTGCAGGACTCGGACCGCAACCTGGACAAGGTGCTGAGGGAGCTGGAGGCCACAGATGCGGAGCGCGCATGCCTGCAGCGCGAGAAGGCCGACCTCGTGGGTGAGGAAACGGGGAAGGAGGGGAGGTGTGTGGTTTTCGATGCGGGCTTGGACTGTGTTGTTGTAGCTGGTTGCGGCAATATGAATGTGAGGGCTATATTGGTGCAGAGCCCGTCGGGACTCGCCATTGCCTGTGAATCGCTCACGAGTACCAAGTCGGTACTGCTGCCACTGCCGGTGCGCAGGCGAGGCAGTCATGCTGCGGGCCCAGACGGAGGCCAGCGCGGCGCTCAGGGACGGCGCTGGGCGGCTGGAGGCTGAGGTTGGCAGGCTGACAGGCGAGCTGGAGGCGCTGCGTGCCAGCGCGGCGCAGGGGCAGGACGCTGGCGAGGAGGCCGAAGCCGCTGCGGCTGCCGCTGTAGAAGAGGCCGCCGCTGCCTGTCGCGAGGCGGAGGAGGCTCGGCAGGAGGCAGTCGAGGCCCTGGGGCTGGCTGATGCCGCGAGGGACCAGGCCGTTGCCGCGAGGGAGCAGGCCGACGAGTCCGACCAAGCGCGGGATGCGATAGTGGCGGAGCTTGTTGCGTCGCGCGAGGAGGCGGCGCAGCTCAGAGACCAGCTGACCGGCGCGGAGGGACCCCTGACCAAACTAGTTGAGCTGCAAGAACAGCTCGATTCTCTCCAGCGCGAGGCCGAGGCGGCTGGAGAGGCGGCGGGATCCCTGCGGCTGGAGCTGGCCGCCGCGCGCTCGGCAGCGGACCGCGAGCGAGCGTCGGGGGAGGCGGCGCGGGGGGATTTTGCTGAGGCTCGTGCCGAGCTGGAGGCCGCGAGGGCGGCTGCTGCAGAGCGCGAGACCAAGCTGGAGCGCAGCCTGGAGGCTGCACATGCGGAGGCCGACGCCGCGCGCGGGGCCGTGGAGGCCGCACTTGCGGAGGCGGCGGCCGCCGCCGAGCGCGTAGAAGACCTGCGCATCGCTGGCGCCGACCTGGCGGCCGAGCTGGCGGAGGAGCAGGCGGCGGCGGAGGCGCTGCGCGCGGCGGCGGCAGCCGCTGAGGAGAGGGCTAAGAGCGCTGAGGCGGAAGGACATGCAGCGCAGCAGCAGGTGGCTGCCGCAGAGGAGAGGGCTGCGGCGGCGGAGCAGAGGGCTGTGAGTGCTGAGCAGGCGCTCTCGGCCGTAGAGGAGAGGGCTGCTGCTGCCGAGGACAGGGCAGCAGCTGCAGAGGAGGCGCTCTCGGCCGTAGAGGAGAGGGCTGCTGCTGCAGAGGACAGGGCAGCAGCTGCAGAGGAGGCGCTCTCGGCCGTAGAGGAGAGGGCTGCTGCTGCAGAGGACAGGGCAGCAGCTGCAGAGGAGGCGCTCTCGGCCGTAGAGGAGAGGGCTGCTGCTGCAGAGGACAAGGCTGTGGCCGCTGAGGAGGCCCTCGCGGCTGCAGAGCACAGGGCAGCGGCCGCAGAGGCTGCGGCGGTGGAGGCTCTCGGTCAGGGCGCCGCAGAGGCGGAGGCGCGCCACGCAGCAGAGGTCGCCGAGCTGCGCCAGAAGTTGGAGGTGCAGCGTGCACAGCATGACGCCGAGTGCGAAGAAGTGGAAGAGGCGCGCCAGGCCCTCGCCCGGGACCTGGCGGCCAGCGGTGAAGAGCTGGAGGGCCTGCACTCTGAGTTGGAACAGTCCAAGACGCAAGCCGGCGAGCTGGCGGGGCGCCTGGCCGCGGCGGAGGCCGCCGCGGCCGCCCTGCCCGCGCTGGAGGCGCGGACCGGCGAGCTGGAGGCCGCCCTGGCGGCCCAGGACTCGCAGCAGCTGGAGTTGGTCCAGCGGCTGGAGGAGCTGGTCCAGCGGCTGGAGGCTGCAGACGCGGAGCTGCTGGCCGCGCGCGCCGAGGGCGAGGCGGCGGTGACCGAGGCGCTGGCGGCAGCGGCGGCCGAGGCGAGGGCTGCGGAAACCGGTGCCGCGGCGGCGCTGCAGGAGTCCCGGGACGCCGCGCTGGCCGCCGGCCGCCGCGTCGCGGAACTCGAGGCGGCGCTCGCAGGCGCCGAGGAGCGCGACGCCGCGCGGCACAAGGAGCTAGCCGCGGCGCGCGCGGCGGCGGCGGGCGCCGAGGAGCGCGCCGCGGCGGCCGAGGCCCTGCGCGCCGAGGAAAGCGCGCGCGCGGGCGAAGAGGTCGCCGCCGCGCGCAACGACCTGGCCGGCGCGCTGCTGGACCTGGCGGAGCTCCGCGCAGCGGCAACGCCGGCCACCAATTCTGACCCAGCGACCCGCCCCGCAGCCGCCGAGCTGGCCACGCTGCGCGCACGGCTGGAGCGCGCCGAGACGGCGTTGGAGGGCGAGCGCCACGCGGCGCAGGCCCTGCAGCGGCGGCTGGCGGCGGCCGAGGGAGCGACGGGTGATTCAGAGGCGCTGCGGTCTCGCGTCGCCGAGCTAGAGGCCGCGCTGCTGGCGGGTGGCGGGGGCGAGGAGGCGGGGGCGCTGCGCGCGCTGCACGTTTCCAGCGCCAAGACCATCGACAGCCTGCTGGTGGAGAACGAGAGCCTTGCGCGGCGCGTCAACGGCGCTGGCGCGGCGCGGGCTGACGGGCTTCGACCTCGGGGTGGGGGCGGTGAGGACGAAGTGAGTCACGAAAGCGCTAGGGTGTCGAAGGAGTGCAGGTGGTTGGAAATCCTTGTATCGTCATGCGCCGGGGCGCCGGCGCCACATGTGTGTAGCCTTTGCACCGCAACCTTGCGCAGACGCATGGTGTGCGCCCCTTCTCGTCGGCATCTCGGTCGATCCATGGCATTCAATCACTCGACCGCATACTCCAAAGTGCACCCCTTCCCACTTTCAGCAGATCCAGCCCATGTCTTCATCGTTGTGGCCTGGGCCAGAGCCCGACAGGCGTTCCAACCCCCACACGCCGCGCCAACCCCGCTCCCCCAAGGCATTCTCTTTCTGGGCCTGGATCGCGGGAGCGGATCTGGTGGACGCAGGGGCGGAGGACTGAAAGTGCCGCGTCGGATGGCGGGAACTTTAAGTCCTGTGACACTGTGCATGGCAATGTCCCGATGTGCCAGAATCTCTAGGCAAGGCACGTCCTGAAGTCAGACAGCCCTTGTGTAGGCAACAGCGAGTGTCTTACAGCCAGGGGCGTGGCAGCGGTAACAATATGAGGAGCGAACAGGGAATCGGGTAGCGAGTCAAAGGAGGATAAGAGGTGCGTGGCAGGGGCATGGGAGGCTGGTCCCTGGCGCCTCCTGGGGGTCTGACGCAACAAGCACCCCGCTTGAGAAGCAGGAAAGATGCCTACCCTCCAAGCAGTGATGACGATGTGTTGAAAGAGGAGTGGCCTCTCCAGGCTCTCCGCTTCATGGCCGCCCTCCCCGTCCACGGCCTCCCATGCCAAGTGCCACGTTCTTCATCTTGTTCTTGGGGTCGATGCGCTTGAACTGGGGTGGGGAGAGCATTTTGAGAGGGGTTGAGGCCATGACTGGAGGGATGCTGGGCACGCTCAGACAGCGATTTTTGCACCCTTCCAGTGCCACATGCAGACCGGTTTGAGGCCAGTGCTCTCGCTGAAATACTTGCAATCCCCTTTGAGGCACGGAGGCAGCGCTAGCAAGCCTGAGCCGGCCAGACACCCACCATCGGTGCGTTTTTCAACATGTCGGGGATGATGATGAACCGGATCTGGCTCCCTCGGATGAAGATGTGCTCCATGTGGGAGACCTTCCCATCACGTCCAGTGGCAGTGATGTTGGATAGCTGAACGTTCCAGTTGTCCTCCGCGTCGTGGAGCTCCCCTCGGAAGATCTCACCAGTCTTCAGCTCGACCTGTGGTGGTTTTTGACGTGGTGAGGAGGGCACAATACAAAATGTCAGGGCAGAGAGACGGCTGCACGGGCCGCTTCCTGTTGGTCGTACAATTATAAGAGCATCTCAGCCAACAATTTCCAAGCTCACGCTGACGATGTGGCCCTCTGCCTCGTGGATGAGCTTGACGGGGATACCCACACCCTTCAAGCTTCCAGCTGCCAAGAGGGGCAGATGGGATTTCGGTCGCAAGGTGAACAAAACCAATCAGTTACATATGGTCACACGAACCGCATCTCACCACTGTACACCTGCGTACCTGCTGCCATCGCCATGGTGAAGAGACTTGGTGGGTGATGGCTGGACGGCGCTGGGGGTAGAGAGAAGGCGCTCCTCGAGGCAACGCACTGTAGAGGATCTTAGTGCGTAGTGTGGCTCGAGTTATGCGGGAATTGCACCCCACACTCGCTTAGAGTGTGACCGGGCGGTGCAGGGACGATGGGTGTTTTTCGCGTAAGTGGTAGAAAGGGAGTCGCCCCTACACCGGGGCAAGGTGAGAAACGAGCCCCTGGCATCGCACCCTTCCTTCTGCCTTGCTGATTTGCGGCCTGGTTCTCAGCCAAGCATGGCCCGGGTCCTGAAGTTTGCGAGCGCCACCTGATCCCCTCGCCATGGCGGTGGAGGACGGTGAGACGGTGATGGGGGAGGGCCAGGAGGTGGACAGCGAGTCGGAGAGCGACAGCAGCGAGGAGCCCCAAAGCGGTACCCCCGCCGTGGAGGAAGAGGTGTGTGATCGTGCGCTGGCGGGGCAGGGAGGTGCTGCGAGGCTTTGCGATGGGCCCGCCATGCTGTGCCCTCCCTTGCCTGCCTGACTGGGACCCTGGGCTTGCTGGAGCTGGGGCGTTCCCACCCGCACCCCCCCTCCTCCTGCCTCTCCAGGTGAGCACCTGGATCCACTGGTTCTGCGGCCTGAAGGGCAACGAGTTCTTCTGTGAGGTGGAGGAGGACTACGTGCAGGACGACTTCAACCTGAGCGGGCTGGGGGGCATGGTGCCCTACTACGACTACGCGCTGGACTTCATCCTGGAGGCGGAGTCGGTGCACACCGAGATCATGACCGAGGCGCAGCAGGAGATGGTGGAAGGCGCGGCGGAGACGCTGTACGGCCTCATCCACGCTCGCTACGTCCTCACTGCGCGCGGCCTGGCCGCCATGGCCGAGAAGTTCCGGGCGGGGGAGTTTGGCCGCTGCCCGCGCGTGCTTTGCCACGGCCAGCCCTGCCTGCCGGTGGGTGTGTCGGACCTGCCGCGCCAGGCCACGGTCAAGCTGTTTTGCCCGCGCTGCGAGGAGGCCTACTACCCCCGCTCCCGCCTGCACGGCAACCTGGACGGCGCCTACTTTGGCACCACCATGGCCCACCTCCTCCTGCTCACCTACCCCGCACTGCGCCCCACCAAGTCCACCGAGGCCTTTGTCCCCCGCATCTTCGGCTTCAAGATCCACCCCAGCGCTCACAGGATCGCGGCCGGGTCGGGCGCGGAGCGCAAGCTGCGGCGCGTGCAGCCCGCCAGCAGGGGCGCCGCGGCGCCGGCCGCCGGGGTGGCGAGCAATGGGACGACTTCGTCGCAGCAGAAGGCGGGCGCCGGCGCCGCGCCGCCGGCGTCCCTGCAGCTCGAGGCACAGGACGTCGCCATGGACTCGGCGCCCAGTGCCAACGCGGCGGCCTGAAGATGGCCATCGCGCAGAGCGGGGCGCGGCGACGCCGGGCGGACCGCCGTGCCGTGCGCCGTCGTGACGTGGGCCGTCGGGCCTTCCCTCGCCTCCGCCTCACTCTTCTCTTTCTTCATCTGCTTGTGCGCCGGGCTGGGGGTGGGATGCGCGCCCGCGCAGCCCATCCATCCATCTGACCTGCCGCCCGTCCTCTGCTGCATGTCAACATCGCAGGGATGTGAGAGGCAAACTCCTCAGGTCCCCCCAAACCCGACAGGTCCTGTGCGCTCTCACTTCCCCCCCCGCGGCGTGCCGCCGAGCACCATTTCCCTTCCGACTCGTCCCCCTCCCCTGCACCGCCGTGCAGTCGCCCCCGTCCTCCTTCCTGCTTCCCCCTTGTAACGCAATACAGACTGACAACAGGTGCATGGAGGAGGGTTGTCGGGGGTCATGAAAGCCGGCCAAGGAACAAGCCTGGGGTTGGCAGACCTGCGACGGGGGCGATGCACGTCGCGGCACATCCCTGGCGCGGGGCAACTCCATCAGGCCGGCTCGCTCCAGCGCTCTGCCAGGGCCGCGGCCGCCAGCTGGACGCTGCAGGACAGGCGCAGGCCGGTCTGCGCCGGCAGCTGCGCGGCGGCCAGCGCCTGCGCCGGGGCCGGCGCGGCCTCGCCGCCGTCCGCCAGCTCCCAGCCGCCCAGCTCCGAGGCCATGAGGGCGAGCGCGGCCTGGCGTCGCGCCGCGTCGCCGCGCCCCGCCCGGCCCGCTGACCACCCGGCGCCGGCCAGGCCCCAGCGCTCCTGCGCAGCCGCCAGCGCGGCGGCCTGCGCGACGCGGGCCCCCCGCAGTGCCTCGGCGCCGTCAGACCCGCCGCCCGTGCTGCGCGCCTGGCCGACGTGCGCGGCGCGCAGGGCCAGGTGCCGCACGTACGCGCCCGCGCCCGCCTCCCAGCCGTCGATGGCCGTGGCGTGGGGCGCCAGCGTCTCCAGGGCGTGAGAGAGCGAGACGGGTGCCGCGGCGAAGGTCGGGCGGGGCGATGCCGGACCTCTCCCTGTGCCGGCATGGATGGCCTGGCCCACACCAGCCTCCCTCCCTCCCTCCTCGCCACCCCCCGCCAGCAGGCGCCCGGCCGCGACGTGGGCGCAGAGCACGTCGTGCGCCTCCCGCCAGGCCCCCGCCTCCAGCAGGCGTGCCAGGCGCACCTCGTGGTCGTGCTCGGCGCGCGCCAGCGTGGCCAGTGCGCTGGCCACCCAGGCGGCCGGCACGCGGAGGTCGCGCGTCAGGAAAGCGCGCGCCTCGCCGTCGCGCCACGCGGCCGCGTGCCGGCCCAGCAGCGCGCGGACGGCGGCCTCGCGCGCCGCGCCCCGCGGCAGGCACGCCGCGACGTATACCGCCCAGGCGGGGCGCCCCGCGGCCTCCAGCTGCGCGATCAGCCCGTCGCTGGCGCGGGCCAGCGCGGCGGCGGCGGCAGACTCCTCGT